CCACGAAGTCTACACCGCCACGTCCTTAAAATTCAGGGAAATGAAGGACGCACTTGAGGGCCGCATTTCGAGCAGCCTTTGAATTGGGACAGCCTTCGTCGCGTCGCTGTGACGTAATCGGCCTTAAAATGCGGCCTTTGAGGCTGCAGACCCTGAATTGGGACACAGCCAGTGAACGGTCTGCCGGTTGGGTTGGGCCGAGGATGAATCACCTGGCGGTGTCTTCTTATGCGCTGCCTCCCGGTTGTTAGCCAATCGGTACGATCCATCCACCCTGGATGCACCAATCATGGAGGAGCACCTGCACACTCAAATTTACATATTATAATTACGACAACAGTCGTAACAGTCACCCTAATCCAAATCTTGTCCAAAGTCTTAGCAATCAGGGAGGAAAAAACAAAGAGTAATCAGCTGGTGTGCATTTCCAAAAAAGCGTTTTTCTCCACAACTGAGGTAAAGGTCAGGGTCGGGGTCGGGGTCAGGGGTCAGGTTAGGGGAATGGGGTTGTTGGTGATGATGGTTTGTGTTAACACTGTTAGCTCATCATCATCTTTTAGCCTGAACCATGAAATATTTGTCAGTAAATGTTATTTGTCGTTCATCAATGCCGTTTATTGAACCTTCTGATAAATGAAATAGTATCTTAAACAAAAACTCACAAAGCTCATTCTGACAGCACAGAGTTAACAGTGCTTCTACCTCAGAGGGGTAACCGTGCGGATCGCTGGTACAAAGTCTGTGTGATTTTGCCGATGATGTAATAGTTCACCGAACTATAACCTGCTCGCACCAGGCCGCACCTTTGCTAACCGATGCTGCAGCTTTGCTTGTCGCCTCCTCACCTCGTTTTTCTCCTCCAGGACTCGGAGAACGATTACTCCTGCACGTGCCCTCAGGGTTTCTACGGGAAGAGCTGCGAGATCAGCGCCATGAGGTGCGCCGACGGGCCGTGCTTTAATGGAGGCACTTGCATGCAGGAAGACGCTGGCGGGTACACCTGCCGCTGCCCGTCCAACTTCACAGGCTCCAACTGTGAGAAGAGGATGGATCGATGCAGCAGCAGCAGCCCCTGCACTAACGGTACCCCTCGAGTGTAGCCCAGTTCATGCACTTCACATCATCAGAAACACAGAGAGTGCTTTCTGATCTCTAACCATGCTGAAGTTCACAGTTATGCTTTCTATGTTATCCTAGTACGTTTTAAGTTCTTTTTGACTGATGTTTGGCCACAGACTGTTCACGCAGGGCCAGAACGACCCTCAGACCTCCAGGCTGACGACCCCAAACGGGCTCGAATCCACAAGGCTGCAGATTTCATAGACTCTCTATCTGTTACATGTAACGTTACATATTTGAAAGCTTTTTACTGCTTTTAGCTCATGAAAATCTAAAGCACTGTATCTCATATTATTAGAATGTATATAAATAAAGATTTGCATACAGAGACTTCTGATAGCAGTTGATTCACGCACTGAGTACGTGGTTGGAACCGCTGCATCAGTGTGTCGTGGACGTGGCGAGCGTGTTGTTGCTCAGGCGTGGTTGAAGCTGTGACGGCCACCAGCTCCCGTCGGTGCGTCTCGTGTTCCTGTCGTGGTTAGCAGTGCGCCAGCATCTTCTGGTAGATGGCTGCGCCGATTTTGGACGACACCCCAAACCATCGCAGAAACCTGACATTAGACTTCAGACTCCTGGATTCTGTGTCTCTCTGACTTCCTGCAGGACCTTCGTTTCAAAATAAAATGCAAAACTTACTTCAGTGAAAAGAGAAATTTGGCTCCTCGAGGATCAGCTCAGCTCAGGTCAACAGTCGTCCCCACGGTTGTGTTTGCATTTAGTCAACTAGACCAAAAGCTGCTGTTCGAACAGTGAACGACTCAAACCTGAAATATTTCTAATAATTTGAGATACTGGAATTTTGGTTTTCATGAGCTATAAGGTGTAAAAATAAAACTTTTACGTTTTTGGTAATAAAAATCGAATCTATCAAAGTTCCATCGGCTCAGCCTGGCAGCTGGATTCAGCACCTGTTCAGGGTCACCAGCAGAGCCCCTCAGGAGCTCCTGGGCACAGTCTAAGGCAGGGGTGTCAAACTCCTCAAGGGCCGGAGTCCTGCAGGTTTTAGATCTCACCCTGGGTCAACACACCTGAATCACATCATTAGTTCATTACCAGGCCTCTGGAGAACTTCAAGACATGTTGAGGACGTAATTTAGCCGTTTAAATCAGCTGTGTTGTATCAAGGTTATGTCTAAAACCTGCAGGACACCGGCCCTCGACACCTGTGGTCTAAGGGTTGGTTTAGCCTCCTGCAAACAGTCGGATTGATGATTAACAGGAAATAGTTGACAGACCCCTCAGAATTCACACATGTGGAGCAACACAACTTTTAATTCAGTGCTGCGGTGACACGATGCACGCTGCTGCGTTTGCTCCTCTGCAGATACGTTTGAAATAAGTCATGCGAGTCAAAGGACAGAATAAATAGAAGCAGCGAAATACTTCAAAATACGTTCCTGAGAAGAAGCAGGTCAGTGAAGAAGTGGTGGAAGCAGGAGTCCAGGCACTAATTTATTATTTTGAAGCATCATCACAGCATCACATGAGTCATCAGAGAAAACTGAACACACACAGTTAATAATTGTGTGTGAAGTATTGAGATACCTTTGCTTTGCTTGAAGACACAGAAAAGCATTCAAACGCCTTCATAGACTTCATAGACGTGCACGTGTGTGTTTGCAGGGACTCGTGAAGTTTTGACGCCACAACATACATCGAAAAACATCACTGTTGAAAATCTTATTAGGTCCCCATTAACCACTTTTATTCAATGAACAGAACCAGGCAGATGTTATGACTTAATACCATTTTTGAACTTTCCTCAGAAACAAATGTAACGAGAGAGAGAGAGAGCTCACGTTTGCATTTTCACCTGCGTGTGTTGAGCCAATCACAGGCATGTTTCACACACTGTGGGAGTTCCAGAGGTGGCTGTGGAGAGGGACACGCTTTGGTAAAGGACAAAGACGGTCGTGCTGGTTTATTTTCTTGTGCGCCCGGTCTGTCTGATTGATCGCGTGCTTTCTGAGCTGCTGCTGCAAACTGAATATAAACAGAACAGCAGGCTCTGCTTTATTGTTCCAACAGTCCTGTTTGTACTTGTCAGATAAGACTGAACCACATAACAGCAGCCTCCTATCTGTGCATTAAAACACGCTGGGAGCAGGAAAAGCTGATGCAAAGTTGAGATACTCTGTGCCTGTGCTGACATCCATGTAAACAATGCAGTAAACGCGCACTCACGCGTACTTAATCCATGAAACTAATATCCGATTTGTTCTCTAACCAGCGTTGGCGTCTGTGCAGCTAAAAATAGCAGCAAAGTCTCTGAATGAGATTGCTGCAGCTCAAAGTGTAACAGCGAGGGACGGAGCTGCAGGAATGTGTCCAGTCTGACTGCTTTTCTTTATTACGTGCAGATTCTTTGAATGCTTGGGTCTTAGTTTATCAGAGTTTGGTGCTTTTTCTCACCTGCTGTTTGTGTGAATCTTCAGCTCTGATGATTTTACTGCAGTGGCTTTGCGTTGGCGACCTCGACATCCCAAAGGCTGGGCCGTGCATCAGTTAAACTTTACTTTAAATACTGCTATAAATCCCACAGTGCACAGACTGCAGTAATGATTAACAATGACACATGAAACAACCACAACACACAGAAATGCACCAGAGTTTCAACCTGTTCAGTTTCATTTTCATTGTGTTTACTTTCGTTTTCCCTCAGCAGTCAGGTCAGGTCAAAGGTCACTCCTGTCGGAGTCAGCACAGTCTTACAGTTTACGTCTAAATAAAAAATAGTCGCAGATTCGGTGCTTTGTAGGTGCCGTGTGAGCTTGAAGATATCGCTGCATATTTTAGACAGACTGCTACAGGTCACGTGACCTGCTGAGGTTTTAAAGCGTTTCAGCTCCAACTGTCAGTTTCTTTGTTTCCTGATTTGATGACTCGGGTTAGCGCTGCGGTCACCGAGGAGGATTCAGACATCAGAGGGTTGACTTTAAAACTGAAGTGTAATCTCAGCTGGTATATGTGGCTTTAAGTGCAGGGACAGCCTCAGGAAAATCAAATGCATCTCAGTGCATCATCTGCATCACTGGGATGTTGATGTAATCATAAACTGCACAAGAAGCAGCTCTGGTAAAGTTCAGGTTTGAGGTGTTTTTGGTAATAAGCAACAAAAAAGAGCGAATGATGTCACTGTTTGGTGACACCTGCCTGTCTGGCTGCAGCTTCCCATTACAGTTAACAGTCTCTCGTCTCTACATGACAGAAATATAAAAAGTATTACTGAGACGTGATGTTTGTGTTGGAGCAGATCTAAGTGCATGCTTAGATGAAATGCATTCATTTGCAGCGACTCGAGAGGTGCTCGGCTTGGTCTTGCCCAGAGTGCGAAGGCTGGTGTGGGTAAACCTCAGCGAGCCTTTCAGATGTGATAGAACATGAATTACCAGTCCCGACTCTTTCCTGGGAATCGTTATGTTGTCATTTGTTGTTCTTGTTGTGAACCCAAATATTTCTCTCCAACGAAGGTTAGGAGAGGATCAAACATCTGCTTTATGCTTCGCAGTTTATATTTCAGTTGATGAAGCATGACATGAGCTTTATTACCCGCAGCCTAACGTAAGCTGAGAGCTCCTTAACACGATTTAGAGCTTTGATGTTGCCATGACTGTAGCACCAACAAGCAGCTGCAGACATGTGTATTTTTATCAGCTTCACAGAGTTAAAACCACATCTGTTCTTCCTCCACCTGCCCTCGGTCACGATGGTCATACCTGTCTGTCGCTGGCTTTTGAGCCAAAGTTTATTTTGAAGACAGTCTGTCACTGCAGGCATGAGCGGCAGCAGGTTAGCATGACTGTTGTACGTGTCGCATGGCTTTTACAATAAAGTTTACAAGCACTCGTAAACCCTGCACTGAATTGTTCCAGCGTTTGGAAACTGTTGAGTCATTTCTGCTCTGAGCACAATTTATGATGCAAAGTTAGATGTTTCTACCAGTAACACAGACGTGGACCTGCGATCTTTAAACGCCTGTAATCAAAGACATGTGTCGGGACGAGTGCCAGGCTTTGCATAGATCCCTGCTCGGACCACCAAAGCAGCTGCTAATGATCAGGGTGTGGATTCAGGACGTGTGGCTGAGCGTCCTGTAGTGTCCTGTAGTGTCTCGCGCTGGGATGTGGCAGCGGTTCAGGGTCCAGTCGGGACCTCGTTTAGATCAGTTTGGTACCCGGAAGACTTGGAGGCTGAAGACACTGCTGCCATCTGGGGGCGTCTTTGCAATGACAAGGGTGCGATTGGTCAGTATTCAACGTTAGCCACTCCACCTGCGAGTTAGTGCTGTGTGTGTGTTGCTTGGCGGGAGCTGTCGAACATGTCTCGTCACCTCCCGCACAATAACAAACTCCGTCCTCGTTGCCGTAAACAAACCTGTTTGCGCAGCAGCTCTGGAGACGCTCCGAGCTCGTCCTTTTTTTCACCTACCTGATTGTACTCAGCCTCGGCTCTGCTGCCAGCTGTTAACAGTCTGATAGAGTTTTCATCCACGGCTCATTTCTTCCTCGAAATGCAGACCAGAGCTTCACAACAGCAAGATAACCACAAAGTAGGCTCATAGTGGCACGCACATATGTGTGTGTGATTGCTGAGAAGTCTGTTTTTGCACATTTATCACAGTTAAT